TACTACAGTCAGGACTATTACTCGATATGGAAATCGATTCTAGAATGATCTGCGGACGAATTCTTGGAATCTGATTGGTTATTGCTTTTTTTTTTTGTCTTTTTACGTATTGCATTCGCTAAAGCGGAGTAGAGCGTGACCTGATTCTTGCAATTACATTGGTCAAATTTGTACAATAAAGACAGAATATCCAATCGTCTTGTGGATACGGCAAAAGTTTCGTTTTCGATAGATCGGCAAGTACCTAAATTTAGGGATAGATCAGCAATTCATGCGCCCGTAAAATTTACACGTCTACTACAGCGGAAGAAAGACGCGTAATCGAAGAGTTCTTCGAGGTTACCTCGAATTGGTCGTTGATTGCATTCCTTCAATATAGAGAAGAAACCGATAGTTTTACGTACGATAAAAGAAGGGAACATAAACTATACGCGAGAGCTTTAGACGCGTTATCCAAAGACCACGTTCGTGCTCAAGAATGCCTTGCTGATTTTGAGGTCCAGTATATTATTACTATTATGTGATGGTGGGTTCAAGAGCTAGAATATGTTCCGGTTCTCCGAACATTACGGACACGTTGGCCGTGACGTATTGACAACCTCGAGAGCCAGCTACCGCGCCCTGGCTGGCGAGAGCGAATACCAACCTTCCCTCGGGCGTTCTTGAATAGACTGTAGTTACTACCATAACGCAACCAGATGCCTGCGTACCAACTGGTTGTCAGCTAACCCCGTGTTGTGGTCCACCATCTTTTGTTTGATTACATGAGTTATATACTAGTTGCGAAAGACTGTTATTGATCTTACGCTAATGTGTTTTGGACAAGAATCGAAAAAGATTCAATCGCTACGGCAAGGGTAGGTAGTGGCGCTATAGTTTTTAGGTTGAACAAAGCTAATAATTATGACTCTTTTACAAGGCAAGTGGAATATTATATATCTTCGAAGCAACAAATAAGATCTCCAAAATCTATACCGACCTCGTAACAGTAGACAAGTAAGTGTCATGTACTGTACTTGTCAAAGATTTAGTAACTTATTCGATATCACTCAGGACGAGTCAAATGAAAATGATTATTTGCGAAAAAGAAAAGACAGACTATAATGAGGAACGAATGATAAAGAAGATATATTGTGATGATGGCTATGTTACGCCATTACAGCATAGTAATCGTTGATTTAAAAATGTAAGGTGCAATTTTTTCTCCTTGCTCTTTCTTTAAAATACTTCTAATAGTACTGTAATTCTTTGGTTCCATAATGGATTTGATGTAAATTAGGTTTATATATTTTATTTTTATATAGACATAATCCTATATTAATCTTTAGATAGTAATAAGTAATAGAAGTTTGCTACATAAATTGTGTGCAAGTTATTGCTGTGATAATAAAAATGCTATTAGTCACATTAGTCAACGTTCAGCCACATCAGTCTCTCATTTAATGGTTTTGTTGCAGTCTGCCCCATATAATAATAAGAATAAACCGATTAACCAATATAAATAGCAAAGCTTCATGTGCTACCCAATATCGGTATCGTTTAATTAGAGATCTCTTTGTATGGTGTTGCAACCATATAGAAGAACGAAGATGACGAAGATGACAGCTTAAGCTTTAGAAAGTGTGGACAACCTAATGCGATTTGTCAATGATCCGCCCAGTGGCTTCGTAAGGCATTATCGGTTTGAAATCAGAAATTTCGCGCTATCAAACGGATGGATTAAGTTAATATTAATCACAAATTCATAGTTTCATCAATGATGGCACATAATAAAATTATATGTTATCACAGTTTCTATGAATTCCAGTACTAATGGTTAGCGTTAGCGAATTTTTTTAATTTACTATTACTATTACTATATGTAATTGCTTCCACCAATAATCTCTCAAAACCAATACTGCGCTTCTATATCGGGTTTTCGAAATTTATGCGGAAAACCGATAGAAACAGTGCTATCGGTTTGACTGTATATATATAATTCAGCCGAAACGATTACCCACAAAAATAACTTGTTTTGGGTAGACAAAACAGAAATTTACCAATAATCACTCGGTAAACAGATGATCGTTAAATCACACAACACGACGAAAACTGATAACTATGTTAACCTTGATTGATTGACAATGTCTACAAGAAAATTACGAATAGCATTTGTTCATCCAGACCTTGGAATTGGTAAATTCTCATCACTCGTTACATTTTAATCAATTGTCCCTCGTTTCTTCAATGTTTCCATAATTATCTTTCACAGGCGGGGCTGAGCGACTAGTCGTGGATGCTGCAACGAGCCTACAATCAAAAGGACATAAGGTTATAATATATACTTCGCATCATGACCCGTCACATTGCTTCGCAGAAACGAAAGACGGTAGGGTTAATGGAAACGCCGATTTTCAATTGAGCACACAAGCAATTTAAAATTAACGCTCATACGATGTTATACTTGTTTTTTATCTTTCATTCCGACCCTTCAGGCACACTTCAAATATGCGTCCGAGGAGATTCTATACTCCCTCGATCTCTTTTCAATTCTTTCTATATAGCCTGTGCTATACTGCGACAAGTATATCTGACTCTCTCGCTAATATTCTACGAAAAGGAGATATACGACGTCATATTTGTAGATCAACTGTCGGCATGTGTGCCGTTGTTGAAACTAACTGGGGCTAAGGTAAATTTATTTGCGTATTATTTTTTTGAAAGCTGCTTGTAAGCTGGATTAGCCTCAACCTGATAGTTTTGATATGTTATTGCGATGCGATTCATGTGACTACGTCTTTTTGACATCATTATAGGTTTTGTTCTATTGTCATTTTCCAGATAAATTGTTAACAAAGAGAGAATCAATATTGAAAATGATGTATCGATGGCCGATCGATAAACTCGAAGAAATAACGACCGGTAAGAGAAATTAGGAGGGATAAGGTAGGGATATCGGTTAAGTTATAACTAAAGATCACTCTTTGATTTGTGTAGGAATTTCGGATCGTATACTAGTTAATAGTCATTTTACGGCTGGGATTTTCCGTGAATCTTTTCCTTCAATTAAGCAGATGCCAGAAGTGTTGTATCCTAGTATACACCTCGAGTCATATGATAAAGAAGTTAATCTGGACGATCCGAGCATAAAACTGCTTTGCACGTAAGTTGACACGACACACGGAATTCTACCAAACAGCAACAAGTGATTAACAACATCATTCACTCTTTCAAATCAAGACAAAAGAGGCTAATTCTTTCAATAAACCGCTTCGAACGAAAGAAAAACCTTGCTCTAGCCATACATGCTTTTTCTCATCTACGCGATTCAGCGGTAATCGCACCGGCGACTTTCTCCACACTTCGCCTAATAATTGCTGGCGGATATGATCCACGTGTATCCGAGAACGTAGACTATCACGACGAACTTGTCTCCCTCACATCTTTTCTCGAACTCACATCACATACTCTCTTCCCGGACTCTACGACTCCACCACCAGAATCAACTCAAGTGGTATTTGTGTGTTCATTTAATGAACAACAGAGAAGTTTTCTTTTGTCTAATACGATCTGTTTGTTATATACACCTGAGAACGAACATTTTGGGATTGTGCCTGTAGAGGCCATGTACAAAAAGATCCCTGTCATTGCGGTAGATAGTGGAGGACCTAGAGAGAGTATTGAGACAAACGTAACAGGACTTTTGTGTGCACCTACACCGGAAGATTTTACAAATGCAATGGTTAAGCTTATTCGAGATGAGGATACGAGGGAAAAAATGGGGGAGAATGGACGAGAGCACGTGCAGAATATGTTTTCTTTAGATGTATTTGCTGAGAGGTTGGAAGAGATTCTACTTAATATGGGAGAGAGGAGAGACTGGATCGGAGAATATGCGTTTACTCTTGTTCTTGTACCGGTGGTCGCATGGTGTATATATTTGTTCACGACGATGGCTAATGATATTCAATCTGAGAAACTTAAATATGCTGAAATATGGGACTGGTAAAACTACGTTTGCAGTCACTTTTAATAGATACAGAATGTTATGACATAATAAAATCCATATCGTTCAAACTGAAATTATTTTGATAAACGGGGCAGAAATCTTTAGCCACTCCAGGTTGCTTAATCCTTTACGATTTGGACGGCGTTTAGTTCATGCAACAAAAATACATAAATAGATAAACAAAAGCTGCAGCATCGACGTAAAAACGGTTAAAGTCCTTGTTCTTATATTATTAATAGTTTTGTTACGCAGCAGAAAGTTTATTTTATGAACCAGGTACGCGATGCGTCTTTTATTGGTTGCACGGCAGAATTTTACCAATTTTGTAAATTTACCGTATTTGGATACAACTATCCTGGACGCGATAAGAGGGGAAGTACTATTCTCGAAGAAACAAATGACATCAAGTAAAATAGCCAGGTATTTTAAACAAATGATTTCATGCAAAGTCATTAATTTTATTGCAATATTAATATAAGGTACTTGAGTGAAGTCTCCCATATATAATATCCTCATAAACATCTTCATCAATGCCACTAGTCACATCAAACACATTATTCGGATATAATCCCTCCATCAAAATTAAGTACCCCGGGTACTATTACAGTATGCTTGGTATATTTAATACTGTTATAGGGCTTGTTTCTCATATTTTTCCAATACCGATTATTATTGATGAAAACAGAATGACACTCCAATAATGTTGGCGAAATCTGATAAATTGTAGTAGTGCTACTATATCTTTTGGACAGAAGTGATTACTGTATTTTCTATACGGATATTCATATTAGAAAAATGGTTACGTCACTTTCGCAACCGCCATATTTATCACGCTCATAAATATACTCTAATTTTATTTTTTATACATCGCGTATAGTGGAGTTAATATCTCTGTAAATGCACCTCAATGATTTCCCACCACTAATACAGGGTTCGCGTTGGACTTGCAATATTACAAATATATAGCTAATGTTTATTTTGGGTTTGTTTAAATCAAGTTTCACAATTTCGCTTAGATTTCACTATAGTGCACGTTCAACAATAACGGGCAAAAGTTCCAAATGTCTTCCGACTAGTAGCAAGACAACAATTCTATTCTATAACTTCAGTAATTACACCTGTAGAACGTTAAAATTACAAAGATAAGTCAAACTTTCATAAAACGCGTATTCTCACAGTTTGGAAATTTTAAATTACTCACCAGTTCCTACAGTTTTCCCTCCCTCTCGAATGGTGAAACGCATACCAGGCTCAATAGCCATATCATGTATCAACTCGCACATAAGCGATGTATTGTCCCCGGGCATAATCATCTTTTCCTCGGGTTTCTCGGTTCCGGGCGGATGAGACAAAACGACTGTAACATCAGAGGTGCGGAAATACATCTGTGGTCGATAATTGTCCATGAATGGTGTATGACGTCCTCCTTCCTCTTTGGTCAACACGTATAGCTGTGCCATAAATTTCTTATGAGATTTGACAGTTCCGGGGGCAGAGATCACTTGTCCTCGTCGAATTTGTTCACGTTTGACTCCGCGAAGTAAAGCACCCATGTTATCGCCCGCCATGCCCTTGTCGAGTTCCTTGTGGAACATTTCGATACCAGTTAATATGGTTCTGGTAGGTGCACCCATGCCAACAATCTCAATTTCTGCGCCTTTGGTGATTGTACCGCGTTCTACGCGCCCCGTGGCTACTGTGCCACGCCCAGAAATTGAGAAAACATCTGCGAAAAAGCAGAGAAATCAAATGAGCGCGTAATAATAGATAAGTGAAAATACTCGAGCATATAAAAGCTACTGATCCGCGTATCATGGCAAAACGAATCAATAACGTATCCATCTACCACATAACCAAATACCTCTATTCTATTGTTATTTGTCGAGAACTCACCTTCAACCGACATTAAAAACGGTTTATCCAAGTCTCTAACAGGTGTCGGAATAAACTTATCAACAGCGTCCATCAGTTTCCAAATAGCCTGTTCGCCAATCTCCGGATCCCGTCCTTCCAATGCAGCTAAAGCTGATCCTTGAATTATAGGAGTCTTCTCACCATCGAAACCATAATGACTTAACAAATCACGCATTTCCATTTCCACCAATTCCAACATTTCAGGATCATCTATCGCATCGACTTTGTTTATGAAAACGACTAGATTGGACACACCAACTTGCTTGGCAAGGAGCAGATGTTCACGCGTTTGAGGCATTTGACCGTCTGTTGCCGAAACTACGATAATGGCACCATCCATCTTATAGAGCAATTATATTAAGTATCAGACATTTGTGATCATCATTGCACAATTGATTAGGCTGGGTAATCCAGTTGTAACATCTGGTATGTTTCCATAACCACTTCACTTTTAAGCACACAAACCTGTGCGGCTCCTGTAATCATATTCTTTATATAATCAGCATGTCCAGGACAATCAACATGCGCGTAATGTCTCTCTCCTGTTTCATACTCCACGTGTGCAGTTGCGATCGTTATCCCACGTGCTTTCTCTTCTGGTGCTTTGTCAATCTCTCCATAATCTTTAAACTGTGCTTGCCCTCGCGTGGCCAAGCACTTGGTTATTGCTGCGGTCAGAGTGGTCTTCCCGTGATCGACATGCCCAATCGTGCCAATGTTGACGTGTGGTTTTCCGCGCTGAAACTTGCCGCTTTCCGAAGCATATTGGCGGGTAGCTGGAAATTATTCCAGACATCATTAAGATGACGCGAATCAAGAAAAACCATGCGAAAAACAAATTGCAAGTTACCATGTGCGGGATATCTGTTCCGTGCCAACTTTGATGACGTCTGCGGTCGTAGAACATTTTGTATAATGCCCTATTTTTAGATACACAGAGAGGTCAAGATAAAGGTACAGATCGTTATTTCTCGGAGTCGTGTCTCTAGCGAATCTGAAATGACACGTCGATCAACTTTAATTACTGATGGATTTGATCTACTCGTAACGTCTTTCAATAATGGAGTCTGGTCGTGGTGAATGCGTGCTTGAACAATAAGCTATACGTACCACTCTTGCACTTCTAATCGAAGGAACTATTAAGTCTTTTATTGTGGCAGAAATGGTGAATTTATTGCACAGTTGACTCGCATTCGTGACAATATGAAAGCACACCATATAATCCTAACTCCTACGCGAAGCGCCTTACTTACGTCGACAAGAAACAGTTCCTATGCGAGTCGCAACATTCCCTTTCACCAGAAGGTTGCGTGTTGATACTCTACTTGCAGGTCTTAGAGCAAACATGATGCGAAAATGATACCTTCGCTAACCGTGATCATAAAAAATTTTTTCTTTGTCGATCAATTCCAAAAATGATTGACGTCATGTCGCACCATGACTAATTCTACTATTTTCAGGAACAGAGACAATTAGCTGCAGCTTTGTCATTGAGTGTATGCAAAGATAACCTCGTGCGTGGCCTTATAGTTAATAGATCCTCTTTAGACTTTCTTTTTGATATAACCGCTGGTTAGAAGTATATAGCACGATGACGAAAGAGACACCCGTGAAGAGTACAGCCCCACCAACGTATAAATTTAAAGTAAACAAAGAATATTCGAATCATAAGCCCAGGATGCTCACCCCACCTCGTCGAAAAGCGGTCCATAATTTCTACGAGTTTGTAAGCTGAGTGTTTTATCGCTCTTTTATCTTCCAACTTTTATATTTGTTACGCTAACACTTGTTCCCACAATCTCAAGCAAAAAAAGTGCCTGGAACTCTCAGCAGATTATTACCAGGGCATCGCCAATTTGATGCGAGAAACCGACGTTACTCTATTCATATCACCACTTAACCAGGGTGATCCGCTTCAAATAATCAATGAAACTGGGATGGTGATCAGCGGTATGCTTAACCCACCATCGACTACGTATGGTGGCGGTCCGGGCGTTGTTAAGCATAGGGAAATAAATAACGGTGATAACGTCCAAGAATCGGAAGGCGGGTCAAATAAACAAGCACAAAGGAATAAACGAGCGCCTCGACAATTATGGGGAGAAGAGGAAGTAGCGAGACTTAAATCATCTTTTAGGAAATATCAGGGGGATTGGGAGGCAATCATAAAGGAATTTGAACCTGATAGAACTAGGTACGTGATGTCGGAGATAGCAAGCGGAAGAGAAACATATCGCAGCAATATTTATGTAAAACTAATCTACTGGTCATGGTTGAGTCATATTATATCTACGTACAGTTTTCGTTACTTGATCCCAAGCATATTTAATGTTAGATTTTGTCTCAGTAAATGAGTAGTGTACATTTATTTAACCCTATCGCCTTTTAATTCTCCATGAATAGAATACAGATTTTTCAAAAGGCGCGACAGATTGGCCTCCGCGCTGTTGAGGCTGGCCGAATAATTGACATGAGTAAACAATCTACATCTGCTGCCGACCCTGAACAGGCAAATGCTAATACGGATGAAGTCATGTCTTATGTACAAAATATTAGCAGTGATCAAGACAAGGAAAACGAATTTGACGGCACGTGGAATGAATCTTCAGCAGAGGGCATGGGCGAGGTTAGCTTAATAATGAGTACTATTGTCGATGGCTTGACGCCCGAATTGTGATTAATGACGCAAGATTTGATTTCTTTCCTTTTTATCCCCACTTCCACCCAACTAAATCAGGAGCAATAAACTTACACTATATTAGAAATTGAATGACCTCACTAAAAGTCTAATTTTGTCTTGTTACTGATTGGGTGGGCCTTTCTTTGGTAGGGAGAAGCGATTCATGTCACAAAAAGTAAAATAGAGAAATTAAAGAGCACAAATGGAAAGGAGCAGCTCTCTCTACGTCCAAGCTGTATTAAGTTTTAGATTATCGTACTAGTTCTGCAGGAACCATCGTCTTAAGAATTCACTCGCGAATTGTAATTCAGCTTTTAAGATGTAGAGCCGTAGATTATAGAGAGATTGTTTTATTTCATCGTTATTAATAAGAAATAAACAAAAGTAAATAGGGCTGTTTAGAAACTATAAATCTGCCAGGTTGTGTTTTCTGGTCAAGCTGCCATATCGACACCGCAGGCTTAACACGTTCGTCAATTAGTATAAATGGATGTAGTGATATTAATATATTAACAAGCTCATATTACACCTTTCTCGTGCAATTCTCGAAACATTCTCATGAATATCCCAATTTTATTGTCTCCTCAATTAGGCTTGCAAATCAAGAAGTCATCCGTTGGGTTCTCAAACTCCGTGACTAGATCGGTGAAAGTCCATCTGATGATACAATAAAGAAGTATGTCTGGGATACGCTTAAATCTGGTCAAGTTGTTCCA